CATTTTGGAGAAACTTTTTCGAATTTTTAAAATGCTTTGAAAATTTTGAAGACGTGCAAGATACTGTGTAATCTGTTTTCATTCATAAAGTTGTTTTAGATTTATTCTGGAAGCCATTATATTGCTAATTTTAATAATTACATCGTCATATTTTTTGATTACTTTAATTCAGGTTCGAATTTTTGCAAACTATATTTTCTGTAATTCCTTAGCAATGGTGGTGTGTGTGCAGTGTATTTGATTATGGGAAAGTACTCGAGGGCTATGTGCCTAAGGGGAGAGATGCCTTCGTGAAGGACGTTCTAAGGAAAACGAGCCTCGGAGCAAACGGCCAGTGTTTAGCGACTTTACCGCACGCCCTTTTGGCAATTAAAAGTGATCCCTTGTTAATTTTCTTACACAAAAAATACCTAAATTATGTATAGATCATGATTTTATGTAAAATCGTGCTGGATATTGAGAATTAATAATCGTTTTAAGTGACTTTTCGTTATTCATATTTATAGAACATTACAACCAAAAGACACATAATAAATAAAATTTAAAATTAAGAAATTACTATTACGAGGAAAATTAATTTTGTTAATGATATTTATGCTTAACGCATAATATTTTTCGACGTTTCTTAAATAAAATTATTAGTACAGAAAAGCTATCGATAAAATGCGCTTTTATTTCAGCCATATAAATTTCGTCGCAATAGGATAATGATAGAAAACTGCTAATTCTTTTTGATCAGGCATTTTTGAAAGACTTTTGGAGACTGGCAGTATTACTACTACTGGTTAGTAGTATACTAGTTCTTCACATCAAAAAAGATAATTATTTCTGAAAAGCACATAATATCCTGGGAAAAATCGTAATAGTGGAAACAAAATAAGGAAAATGAAACAAATCTCTTCAGAAGAAGATGGAAGGTCTCATAATAGTGTAGACAAAAGTGAATAAACTTGGACCTCAAATTGGCATATTCTTCTTAGAAATGTTATAAGGCATTTCTTCCACTTCCCTAGCGTGCCTTCGTGGTGTAACGGTTGCACGCTGGGCCGGTATTCCAGAGGTCCGTGGTTCGATTCCCGGCGAAGGCGGTTGTTAATTTTTCATCTCTCCAGCTTCCAAAAATCCTGACGTCTCTACAGTGTAATAAATGGAAACCCTTTGGACTGTACTCAGCTAGTATCAGACATAAATAGAACTGTTGCCAATCAGAAAAACAAGAAATTTAAAGTATTTGTGCAAAGTTAAAATAAGGAAACAAAAGTCTTTTAAGGTTTGTAAGCCTAAAAAATTAGAGCAACAGCAGTGATTAAATTCTTAAATAACTTTATAATTTTTATCATATTTTATTGAGATGCTACCTTCGATAAAGCACTAACTATGAATGTACAGGAAGTTAAACAAATACTAAAATAGATTAAATAGGTAAAATCTGTAGGGATGTAAACATGTAACATGTGGCATATCCCCCCAGTTGCCGTGTAAGCGACTTAATTGCTATGTCTAATATGAAACAGAACTTAAGAAGAGTATAAAAGACCTTTTTATTTAAAACTAATGAAGCTGAATAGTAGGCACCCCTGGTGCTTACTAATCAGCCAGCATTTGTGGAGTGAACTTAAAAGTAGAATTTTAAATTAAAACTAATTCTAAGTAGTTAATTGGCCAAAGGCTGAGCAGAGATATTTAAACGTCGAAGTTGGCTCTTAAGCCTACACCGGGGTGACAGCACCATCGGCAAGAATAAAGCAATATAGCAGACTGGAACGCTTATCTTAGAATAACACCTAGTAACGTGGCCTCCAGCAGACAAAACACGCTCTCATCAAAACAATCTCAAACTCTCACTTACGCATACATACACTCTAGCTAATTTACATTCTGGCACGAAAACGGAAAGAGAAAATTGACAGCACAGATTTGGAAGATAAAGTAACTTGTTAATTAACATAAATAAACTTACAAATCTATTTAAAAGTCTTATTTATCGATATCCTTCTCTTTTCGAAAAGGGCCCTTCGGGACCAGAGCAGTAAAGTCGCTGAACAATGGTAGTTTGATCTGGGATCGAATCCTGGCAAACAGACTGGCTGCATGGGAGCTTTTGTGGTTTTTCTCCCATGTGTAACGTGGATACTGGCCAGTTTTTTTTTAAAAGTTCTCCACGAAAGGCACCCCTGCCATTACGCAGCTGGCACTCGAGTGGTTTGCCTCAATCAGTTAATATAAACTCTCTTCGAAAAGTCATGTAGGCTTAAAACTTTTATTAATTGAATTTTGATGTTAGAGAGCGCGTCAACGAATTCTGTCTAGAAGACATGTACGAAATATCATCAATCAGAACACCGTAGTTAGGGGCTATTTGAGAAAGGTCAGGGAAACCTTTGTGGAGGACTTTCTATGGGAATTTGTCTCATATACACGTTACACATGTGTAAAACCACGAAAACGACCATGCAGCCAGCCCATTAGCGGGATTTGAACCTCGGACCGAACTACCAGTTTTCAGCGACTTTACCGCTCTACTGCTGGTGGGTATAGCTTATTTTGAATACAGAGCATTTGAGAAAAGATGCCCGAGTCCTTTTGATCAGAAGCAAATTCCTGTCATTCATCACCCAATAATTTCGATGCCAGATTTCGCGTTCTCAAACTCAACTGTTCTGCTTTATCAGAATACTTAATGCTGTTACTTACTGCACACAGTTCACGTTATCCCAAGCAATGTGACTGCCAACCTGTGATAAATACCAAGGAGTTACTGTGTGAATGCGTCTAGGCAAAGCCTGCTAGACAATCGCCTAGAATGCCCAGCATTGGAGAGCAACTACTAAGTTTGCTGAAATTGCTGGAACCGGGGCTACATACAATGTCACTAGCACTGGAGCAAAGGTGTATGTTCCGCTGGATATTGCGGCAATAATTTTTTCATCGCAAATAAGGCAACTGTTCTACGGCAATTTAAGGCATAGTTTTAAATATAAGAAAAAACGACTTTTAAAAATCTTAAAAAAAAAAAAAAAAAAAAAAAAAAAAAAAAAAAGCAGAGAACAGCAAGGATTAGAATTTCAGCAGCTAATGATTAGAATTAATAATAAAATATTAAGTCGTCTCGATTGCTAAAGTGCTCAAAATATTTTTATGAATTTTGAGAATAGATAGATGATTTTAGTCCAGTTATGCGTGAAATTGTCGTATATTTCTCTATAATGTACCATGGAAATCGTCAATTTCTTTTCTACTGCGGAGTAATATCTTGCAGTCACATTCACTGTTCAAAACAATTAGGGGATATTGTGAGTTCGATATGAAATAACCATATAATCGACAACCTTTTTAACAAAAGGAAATAGAAGAGATTATTATAAGGAAAATTATAACCAAGTTACAAAATATGCAAATTTAGTCTGTAACGTCGAAAACTATGCGTTTTAAATAAGGAGCGACCTGCAGCATTCCTGTTGTAGTAGGAGATTAAAAACAATTGACACGCGTTGAATGCTTTCAATCAGTGAATATACGATGTATCAACCCTATGACTTAGTTGAATCGGTAGCCAGGAAGGCTATTAGGCGTTTACAGAAGAATCAAATGCAATCCACTGTAGCGAAACCGTTAGGAGTTTCCCAAAATGTCATATCCAGACTATGGAATCTGTGCTGGGAAACTTTAGATGTTTGAAAAATTCGGGGCAACGTCGTGTTATCGTTTTAAAATAAAAAGCGGGATATGTGCATTTCGTTTTAAAAAAAATTAAAATATATCTCTATTTTAGAGAAATAAAGGGGTCATAAAGAACGTTTTGTATGCGGAGATATTTGGTTGATGTATGCAAACATTTTATCAGACAAATCAAGAAAATAAATAATTAATTATATTGCAATAATTACTAATTTTAAATATATTTTCCAGAAGTCGATCAAAATAAAAACTGAAATTTTCCGGAAAATCTTGTTTGGAGACCATTCGGCGCCCCTCTGGGAGTGGGCGCCAAAATCCCAGACCCCCTTGCCCCCCCGCTTTACATTAGACAGAAAAATACAATTTATTTCACATATAATTGCACTAAAATCATCTATCTATGCACAAATTCGTAACAATGCTAACTTTTTCGTTTAGTGTTATGGGCTATTACTATAATATTGTTGCGTGCGTACGGGTACGCTATGAAATGAATGCACAAGTCCGATGAAAAAGGAACAAAAATTTATTATTATCACAACAAAAATGCTTAAATTTTCTCAAATTATCATGCAGTATTACAATATCTCACAGTAGTTATCTTTTAACTACTCAAATATCCAATAGAACGCAATTCAAAACAGCTAAAGAACGCTAATCCGCGAATTCGCTACAATCAACAAGAGCAGTTTTCTAAACACACAAACAAAACTAAGCAACTACTACAAACTGAGATGTTTTCCTCCTTTTATAAGATTTTAAAATCACGCGCTAGAATTTTCCAGTACTTTCTCGAAATCAAAAAGAGATATTTATTTATTTAATGCACGCGCTCTTGTATTTTCAATTTTTCCGGCTTAGCTTTCTTTTAATATTCGTCACGCGCTGCACTGCGCGAGAAATAAAACCATTTAATTTATAATTGAACTAACATTAGCTTTTTAAATATCAAATTCGTAACACTATTATTTTATGATTTTACTCAATACATTTTTAGCTGATGACCGTGAATTGTTATGCTGAATTGACAAACATTTAGAAATTATGTTTGACAGAATGTTTCGGTCTTAATAGTTAATATTAGATTACATTATTATTGATATTATATGTTAGATATTATTTAATATCAGTTATTATTCGCTACCACTAATTACCATCTGCCATTGTATAGTTACACAAAGCTTGAGAGTAAAATTATGAATAATCTATCTGTGAACTGGAAAGTCTTCAAAATGTTACCATACGAACAAGGATCGTAAATTATTCATTAAGATGACACTTACTTTTGTGTTTTTTTAACAGATAAATTGAAAATCACTTACCAAGACATCGTTGACATACCAGCTGAGATTGGCAGCTGGTTTGGACTTCGCCGATGAGCATCGCAGAGTGAGATTATCCCCAAACTCTGTTACTTCACCGTAAATTTGTGGCGACGATTCCGGTGGAACTAAAGGAAAAAAAAATATTCACATTATAAGAACACATGTTTTTGAAGCAGTTAAAAAATAATTAACGTTATCTCGTTATAAAAAGCATACCAAATCTAAGGCATGCATACAAAAATAATCCTTATAATGCGAGTGACTCTAGGTGAAAATGAAGTCGTTATGTAATGACAATTAAAACACTCTATTTTTCTTCGATTCCAACCGTGATGTTACTATAGAGTAATTAGGTTATTTTGAAGCAGAAGACATAAAAAACATACAATGCCCTCGCCGGAACGCATAATGGCGAACTGCACATTCAGTTTATCAATGTTAAACGAATTTCGCATACTGCGCATGCCCAGAAGAGAATTTGGCGTAATTACGACTTTGGCACAATTTTAAAAGAAGATAAATACGGTGTGTGGTTGATATTCTGTTTATCTGGGCGGAAACAGTTCGGGGTTTTAAAACTTGTAAGGTTGTAAGTTCCTTTATTACTTAGAGGGTAACTTTCGACTATAAACTACTCAAATTTTCGTTTAAGAATGATTACAAAACGGGAAACATCACAGGATATATTAGCAGAATCTTTACTGAATATACTTGTGAGGCATAAAAATTGCGTATGGTAAATAACTATATGTTCCATTCGTATATACCTTAACAAATTAAAGAAAAAATCCAGTTTAAATTACTGGATTAAAGTCAAGGAAATTATTATAAATAACTGATATTAAATATAAAGTTTGCGAACAAAATAAACCAAAATGAAATGAAACAGAAAGCAAATGCATTAAGCACAAATAAATATGGGTAGTACTGTAATTGTAAATAGTCGATAAGACATACACGATGAACAGGGTTGTGTTATGGTTGCTTATGCTTAGTCGCCAGTATTTTCTTCCACGCCAACGGTACACCACTGAGCATGCGCAGTAAACGAAATTCGTTAACATTGATCAACTCAATGTGCGGTTTGCCGTTACGCCGCTGGGACTCGAACTCGGATTTTTTTGAAGCAGGAAACGTGAAAATGAGCAACGCCCTCGCCAGGACTCTAACTACGGTTCTCTCAAATATGCGCCGAGTGTGCTGACCATTACACCATGAAAGCATGCTAAGAAGGTGAGAGAAATACCTTATATACTCTGCTTTTAAAGGGCGACTGGGAATTAGGGGAGCCAATTCCAATCCTGGTGGTGGAGAATCATTATCCACCACCTTTTTTAATTCGCTGGCCACTGTAGATTCATTAGATATGTATTTTCTGAAAGCAGGACAGATGAAACATGAGCAATACCCTCCCGATTCGAAACATGGACCTCTCGAACACGCGCCGAGTGTGCTACCGTTACACGGCGAAGGAGGAAGAAGTACCTTATAGTACAGTACTTAGCTTCCAAAAGACTGCACATGTATGGAATTGGTTTGGGAAACGTCCTACACATAAGATACTGGAGCATGAACTTAACTGCATACCTAATAAGAAGCAGTCGTTGCAGATTTAAATAATATTTAATTACTTTTATTTTAGTTAAAACATCTTGCGGCCAAAAACAAACTGGCATACATATCCTACTAGTTTCAGAACGTAATATTTACGTTTTTTATATTGTTGCAGAAAGAAGATAAGTACTCTAGTTAACCCAAGTCGCAAAAGCAAAGCGCGCTGTGTTCAGGAGGATCTTAATTCAGAATGCGTTACTTTCTATTTCAATACACATGACTGGATAATTAATAAAGCTCTAAGCTGATGATACTTATGGCTACGTTCTAATTCCGTTTACGTCATCAGCGTTATGTAAAAGTCAGAAATGATACAGTCCAGGGAAATTTATTATAAGCAATTAGTATTTTTAGAACAGAGAGATGAAATATCCATATGCAAGTTATGTGAATATACAAATTAATTATTCATATTTTAATATTTCAAACCGACTTTTCAAAGGGTCATAATTTAAAACATTAAAACCTGAACAATTAAGGAGCACTGAATTCACGTTTGATTGCAGTTGAACCTTTGAACAAAATTACTATAAAAATAAAAGAAACGAATAAAAAACATTTTCTCTACAATTAACATTTACACACCACTACCGAACATATATATACACAACAGTTGCGACAGAAAAAGGATGTGCACAACTAATTGCTACGAGAGTCCTATACACACAGCTTTAAGATTCTACGACTAATGATTTTCGAGTTATGCGAGGTACGTACGTACGTAACAGACGTCAGGAAAATAATTTCAGCTAATTCAATTTTAAATTCCTTTTACGATCGATTTTGGGAAAAAGAATTCTTTGTTCTGGCCCTCCGGATAGACGTAAAGGAAAAAAAAAAAAAAAAAAGAAAAAAAAAAAAAAAAGAAAAAGGAAAAAAAAAAAAAAAATCGTCCAGTTAGATTTGATTGCGGTCAAACTGGAAATTTCCGTTGAAACAGGATAGCTAAAATTTTCGGCCAATTACAACATTTCTTTTACTTCGTACAACAAGGAGCTAAAAATGTACTCCTCTGTTTCTGCACCAATAAACCAATAATCTCTGCAATCGTACTACTTTTTGATGACGTAAAAAATATCTTTAATACGACTGAACTAAATGTGAAAAACGAATGAAATAATTTTGAGTATTAATATCGATAATTATATATGAAATATGTTTTGAGTTATAAAATATGTTAAGATTTTAATATTAGCTCTTATTATAACGAATATAAAATATTAATATTTATGAAATTGAATAATCATAATAAAATTGATTACAGATAACGGTATATAGGAAGGAGTAATTTGAAATTATGATGAATGAATGTTAACTAATGAGTAACCGAATGTAAAGAAAAATTAGATTGAGAATACTAAGGAATTTCCTCTATTTATTTAAATACCGACGACTCAAATGAATTAAATTCTAACACTCATTAAAAAGGTAGGAAAATACCACACTTATTTAAATACAGAGGCACCAAAAGAAAAGAAACACCGCTTTACAGATGAACAAAATCATATGCAACTATAAATAACTGTATTGAGATGTGTTCACAGCATTTTGTGTCCACCATCAGCCGAGCGGCAAAATCGCTGACCACTGGTAGTTCCGACCTGGTTTCAATTTCCTCCCAGGCGAAGAAGGCCGCTTTCATGATTTTTCCTCTTGTGTAGAGTATGTGCGAGCCAGTTTCCTTTAAAAAACCCTCCATGAAGACATCCGTCCCCTTAGACGGATAACCCTATAAGCTTTGCCGTAATGAATTGAATCAAACCAAACAACAGTATTTCGTTTATTTAACTTCTTTAAAAGCAGTTGTTATTTATTACGGTTTTCACCTAATAATAATAAATGAGTTTTATTATTGATGACATTTTGGGTTTACAGAAATAGTTAAATATAGTTGCTGTGAATGTTAAAGAATTAATTATTTCACATTAAAATGGATAAAGACTTACTTTTTCTCATTAAATTTTTACTGGAAAATTAATACACAGTAAATTGCAAGTAAAGTATATTACATTTCTATGCAACATTTTAATAGCATTAATTTAGTGCCTTATTATACATATGATTAGGCATAACACTCAGAAAAATAATATTCAAGAAAAAACATACAAGCAAGGTAGCATGGTACTGTTTAGAAAAATAATGCATCGGATTTCATTTTGAAGATTTACAATATCAAAAAGAAGTTGTAAGAGAGATTACGAATCGCAGCAATATAGGAAGGAAAAAAATGAACCACGAGACCACTTATCTTTCACATCAGTAAGACAAAATGACATATGATAAGACTTACTTGACAAGAGAAGAGCTTAGTTGTCAGGAGAAAAAAAAGTCAAAAACTGTGGAAAGAAACTAAAAATAAGAATATTACTTTTGTCAAAGAACAATACACAAAAGAATCCAATTACGTTCGAGGATATTCATTTCTCGTGTTATATTGTTTTCCGAGTACAGAAAACAGTCCTTCAGAAGTTTTAACAATTTCTTATTTTTTTTTTGGGGGGGAGGGGAAGATTTCCATCAAAATTTGATTTTTATGGTTTGGGATTCTACTTTTATTGTATGTCTACTTGAACAACTGTGTTTTAAAATTTATCACTTGAAAATTTAAATATTATTTACGTATTTAACTTTCGATATTCCGCTTTTATTAGCCTGTAATTTAATAAATCTCTTTCACTAATATTATTTTGTTATAATAATGATATTTGTTATTAGTTTAATATTATCACTAATTATGTATACAGATGTTGGCTTTACTCCAATTATATGTGAAATTGTTAATTTTTTTGTGTAATATGACGTAAAAAATCTGAAGAGAGAAGCTATGCCGGAATAGGAAGAATATGGGGGCAAGGCATTTAACATTGAGTAAATGAGTATCTCCGTAATCTGGCGAAATATCGCCAAGCTGGCGACAATTTTGGCGACTTATTTTGTCGTCAAGTTTGGAGAGAAATTGCGAAAAGTCGCCAAATTTGGCGAACATTCGGCAAAATTTTGGTTCGTTCCCTGCCTTATTGTAATAGGTATTGTAATTGATCACTATATTAGCTGTGACCGTAATTCGACCCTCATATTACTTTCCAGTAATTTCGAGGAGCAGAAAGTATTAGAAATATCTCGGCGGCCGGTTGAAAACTACATAGGGCCGGAGAGAGAGCATCTGCTCTCAGTTGTTTAGATTGTTGTTGCGAATTGTTTAGTTCCTCGTAAACTGATATATCCGAGTCAGCTTTCTCTTTAGACGCGATTTGCATTGTATTGTGTTTAACGTTCTAAGTAATTTTAAGTGCAACTGCTGATTGTACTCTAGTATAATGTGAACACGTTTACGAGGATTTCTGAGAAAAATTCCAGAACTTTGACGTGTTTCTTTTGATAAAAATAAATTTTATTAACCTATTTTCGGATTGGATTGGATTGGATTATTTAATTATGGCAAAGCACACGAGGGCTATCTGCCTAAAGGGAGGGATGCCTTCGTGGAGGACTTTCTAAGGGAAACTGGCTC